TTCGGGGTCAGAGAAATCTGTAGGTATTCACCTTCCAAGCTGATCTTTCTGTGCCTCACAGCATTCAGTGCTCTGTTAAGGAGGCACTGAATAAGGAGAGATGAAAGATGATGAATCGTGATAAACGCAGAAGGGTATGGTGAAACTGCAGTGGCTTACGTGCCAAAGACATCCTTGAAGGAAACTTGCTTTGATCCCCAAAAGAACTTTAAGATGTGCTGTTCTGATTATTTCACCGCTGTATCAGGGACAGAACAGTTGTTTGAGTTGGTAGTTGAGATTTTATCCTCTGGCAGGGTAGGAAAGCTGAGTTTGCTTCTGTGCATGTGTCGTTACAGTGCGCACCAGGAAAAAGCCCATGATATTTTTTGGGGGGTGAGGGGGAGAGAGGGAGAGCTTGAAAATGAGAACATTTCAACTGATAAAAAATAATTTCTAGGGAGACTGGAGGGGAGGCATAGGTGTGTGACCTTAATTCTTTCAGCATCTAGCCTGTTACAAAGTATATAACAAAATTTCTACAATAAAGCAGTATTCTTCAATGCTCCCATATAGTTCAACAGCCAAGACTCTCCTTGCCAATCTGTAGTCACTGTAATTGTGTATTGTGTCTGCGCTGCTTTTACAAATGATGCCTTACAATGGCTAACATTCAGTATAAGTCTTGCCATGATGCAATTGAGAAAGTATCTGAGTTCATCTAATTTCATGTAGCCAAAAATAGTTTTTCAAATGAAATCTGGGAAGCCCCAGGCCTAAGTGGTACACAGTAAACTCTGAAAATCAGCATCAGGGCCGGCTCCAGGCACCAGCCGAGCAAGCTGGTGCTTGGGGCGGCAGCTTATAGGAGGTGGCATTCTGCCCAATCCTAGGGCGGCACGGCTGCTTTTTTTGTTGTTGTTGTTCCGCTCTGGCTGCCCTGTAGGGGGCAGCAGCGTGGAGGACGGGAGCGCTCTGCAGCAAGCCTGGCAGGGCAGCCCGCGTCCTTCCCTCCCAGCCAACCGTAGCGGTGCAGAGCCCTCCCGGCAGGGGGCACGGCAGGAGGGGCCGCGTGGCAGCGCCCCGCTGAAGCCCTGGCCGCCCCCTTCTCTCTCTCCCCCTGCTCCTTCCTCTTGCCCCCTCTAGCCGGGGCACATCTGCAGGGCAGGGAGTCCCCCTGCACCCTGGCACCCTGGCTCTGGACACGCCGCAGGTTTGGTTTTTTTTTTTGCTTGCAGCGGCCAGAAAGCCAGAGCCGGCCCTGATCAGCATACCAGGTTAAGGTGGAATCTTCTGCTCTAGAACAGTTGTAGCAAGGCATGGAAGGAAAGCAGAGCACAGAAGTTATGTGCCAGGTTCTCAGGCTAGATGGAGATATAACTAAATGCAATGCTTTGCTTCCTACAGGCGGTTCTCTGTAGACTCTATATACCTTGCTTTGGTATATACTTAGTGAAATAGTGAAAAGCAATTGTAGGTCTTCCATGTTAAGACTGCACTGTATCTTGCAAGAAGTACTGATCAGTAAAGCAGTTTTCTGGCAAATTAACCATACACCACAAAATTAACTCCAGTACTATAAGAATTTGATGATACATTATTTCAGCCTCAGTAACTAAATTCTCTTTGGATTGCCCCAAGAATGTTATGTGCTCAGCTCACCCTCAGCTTGGAGAGAGACATTGCTGCTCATCTTGTAAGATCAACTGCTGCTCATTCATTTGCAAGTATGTTGTTTAATTTTATAAGACATATGAAGCACGCCAGTATATACTATATCTTTTTAGGCCCTTTATAATTGATTTCCTTAAAACACCCAACTGTATTTTCACTAGTATCAAGTTTTTGTGCTCATCAGCTCAAATAAAAACAAAATCCTACCCAAACAAAATGAAATTTATTTATTTTTAATAACACTCCAGTAGTTGCTAATATATAACTGAAAATCCTTGTCCCAGGTACTAATAATGAAACCTTTATATTACTAGAAATATTAAAACTTTAATACTCTCCCTAGTATGTTTTATATAACTTGTACTTAATCTTTGTACTGGTAGCAAGAGCTTGGAGAGACAAATTTACATATTTGTCCCTCAATATTTTTCTTTTCCCCCTCATCTGGGCTATATATGTCATGTAGACTGCCATGAACATTTTACAGTGTTGAAGCATTTAAACTGTAATTTATATAATTTATATATAAATGCTGAATATACCATCAAATGCAATATAAGAATAACAGATTCATTGGTCTTACAGGTTTTAGAACTTTACCATTGCGCACATTCACAAATGGTTGTATACAAAAACTCAGTACAATTATATACAAAGCTTTAATCTGAAATACAACACAGGAGTAGATAAGAAGGAAAAAACACTATCATTTTAACAGTAATTACAATACAATGTGTGGAATAACAGTTCACAGGATTAAACAAGCAGATTGCTTATTTAGAGACAACATGAAGAAATTAACTCTCCACTCTGGCTATACTGTTCAAATTTATTATATTAAGTGGAAAGCCATCTTTTTCAGGGGATAAAATGCAGCTGATGGTATGCCCACTAATGTAACAGTTTTTCCCATTTTTTCCCTTAAACAATGGGTCTCTGTGGGATTTCCCACTCATTGTAGTATCCATCTATTCAGATCTATTTTGATCGGTTAATCTTGTTCAGTATTTTTCCAGGCACGAAATTACTTTGATTTTTAGCAACAGGCAAACCACTTCATGCATCCGATGAAGTGGGTTTTAGCCCACGAAAGTTTATGCTCAAATAAATTTGTTAGTCTTTAAGGTGCCACAAGTACTCCTCGTTCTTTTTCCTGTTATTGAAGTTATGGGTCATGTTTTTCTCTGTTACACCTGGAGATCAGTATTGAAGCTTAACAATTTGTGTAACTTGTGTGTTTTTCAAATCTTTCCACCCACCGGCAGAAATTACTGGTCCTTTCTAAGGAAACACATATATTCCTCATTCATGAGCTAAAAGTATTAGCATGCTAATGATTTTAAGCATTTATAGCCACCGCCATGAGCCGTGGTATATGCTTCCATCCAATATGTCATCAAATTGACCTAGGAATTGTACAACCAGGCTAGTATCTCACAGTCCAGCCTAATATGTCCAGAGGTTATTCCACAGTAGTATGAAAAAATCTCAGTCTTCCATAAGATTATTTAAAATAAAATGTGAACACTTAGTGGTGATGTCATAAACCCAGAAAAGTAAATAAATTCAAAGCTGAAGATTTATTGCCAGCTAGGAAGATTTATTTTGATTATTGCTTGCAGTGAGGATTGGTCCAAAACCAACCTGAATATGGAACTGGTTTCTGTGACTTTTGAATAAATTATCTGTAAAATTTAGACATGATGCTCATGTGACATTATCAGGTTCATCCCCATGTGGTCATTTTTCCTGTTAGCTTTATGTGCCAAGTAACACTCTTTGGGTACCAGGCAATGCAGGCAATCCAGTTTACTACCCATAAGAAACCCCTTCACTGGGTGGAATCTAAGAGATTTTAAATTTGCATATCACTACTCAGGTGCAATCAGCCTGAAACTATGATGAAAAAACATCAGATGCAACTGAACAGTTGACTCATTTTCCATGGTTAATATGGTGATTCATTGATCATAACAGATGCTCAAATGGGTGCAAAGAGGCCTCGTTAAAAGTCCCAAGATAGATACCAGAAATATCATATTTAAAAAACAAAAGTGCCATGATGTGGCAAGATGCCCATGTGGCACCAGAGTAATTTCAGTCTTGAATATGCCGCATATGCACACACAATAGCAAAAGCGATAAATAGAACTATTATCAGCGACTGACCAGTTGTAAAATAAACCTGCTATGCTGTGGAGTACACTGCGGATGTCCTAATATTCCATTGACATCAATCATAGAATATTAGGGTTGGAAGAGACCTCAGGAGGTCATCTAGTCCAATCACCTGCTCAAAGCAGGACTAACACCAACTAAATCATCCCAGCCAAGGTTTTGTCAAGTCGGGCCTTAAAAACCTCTAAGGATGGAAATTCCACCACCTCCCTAGGTAACCCATTCCAGGGCTTCACCACCCTCCTAGTGAAACAGTGTTTCCTAATATCCAACCTAGACCTCCCCCATTGCAACTTGAGACCAATAGAATACAATAGTACAGCAAGTGCAGTGGAAAACCAGCAGTGATAGGCTTATAGGGTCAATATATTTTACAGATAATAAAATTGATTGTAAATAGAGCATATGGCTTCTGGAAATTCCCATCAATCCAGTAACCTAGAGGCCTTGACCCTGCAAGTGCAAGGTTCTTGCACTCCTGCAACCAGAGGCTACACACAGGCACAAGTAAGGTTAACCGTTGACACGGACCTCTACACTGAGCAGTAATAAGTCTCACTTCCCCTACATAACAGTCCTCTTAGTTGCAGATATATAACCCAAAAAGAGATGGGACATGGGCAGACAATGGGCATATTTGAAGAGACGTAAGTGTAACCATCAGCAGGCACACAATGATGTGCTCCCCATGCTACTAGGCATGAGTTACTTCAGTTGTAAAGTAGTGGCTTTCATTAACACACGATTCCTGCACTGCTCGTTAATTTTTATGATGTGTTTCTAGACTCAACTTTCACCACCTGCACTGTGCAGGATCAAGTTCCCAAATTTTTATTCCGGTATGTTTGAGATAGTATTGATAGTAACTACTTAAAAATACAAACAAATATTTCAAATAGAAATAATGTCTACTTCTCATTTTACATTATTAAATTTACATTAAATTAACAAATTTGCCAGAAAGAAATACAAGGAAATTCCATCCTGGGGGGGAAAAGCACTTGAGTTCTGCTATTCTGCTTAATACCAACATCAGACACACATGCATCCCCATACTATGGAATCATTTTTTTGTTAGATGTCTTTTCTTCTTTGTTAGACTAGAGGTAATATCTGGATTACTGATCTCAAACCCCAACATCAGTTAGACACCGATCAATCATGCCTACCTGTCGTTTTCTTCTGAACTTCTGAAATGCCTTCTGGATGCTCACAGTCTCCATTTCCTTTTCAGTTTTCTCCTGATCTAAACCTTCAAGATACACCATGAAACAGCAGTTTCTCTTCCTTCCTGATTCCATGCTTCTTTCTAGATAACTATTTTGGACCTGCAATTATGAAAAAGTAAACTTGTAATTAAAATACAGTTGCTGAGCCAAGTGGTGTGCATGTGACACACAATGGCATTAAAAATCCTGTTGGAACTCATCACTTCAACAGTATAGTAAATATGAGAAATATTAGATCCAAGCTATCCAGATGTTCTATGAAAACTGATCCAAAAATATTCTCATTGTATCTAAAATAGAACCAGCAACTGGAAGGACTAAATTAATTGTTTAAACCAGCCATTAGACACTCTTCAGACGAGCTGGCCTACACTCTGCTAACATAGTCCACATGAATAGATAAACACACAAGTTTTAATTCAAATGGCTATTGAGTAAATAACAGCCCTTGGCTTGATTGAAAAGTGCAGAGTAAAAGCTCTTAGGAAGTTCTCTGATTCCTCCTGTACCATGCAGTAGAAACAACTAGGAGTCCTTGTGGCACCTTAGAGACTAACAAATTTATTTGGGCATAAGCTTTCCTGGGCTAAAACCCACTTCATCGGATGCATGGAGTGAAAAATACAATAAGCAGGATATATATGAAAAGATGGGAGATGCCTTACCAAGTGGGGGGTCAGTGCTAACATGGCCAATTCAATACAGACTAACACAGCTACCCCTCTGAAACCATGCACTAGAAGTCAACTAAGATAACATCTTGCATATGACTCAATTCTCACAGTGTAGGTGGGAAACTCAAGATATATCTGACTGTAAAACTGTCTGATTTGTATAATATTGCTGGTAAAAATCTAACCAGTTCTATCAAATTCAATATGTAATTTAGTCCTCCCAAGGGTATCTGTATATGCCAGAAATGTTGAGATGCTTCCCTGTTTGAGATACCAAAATTCTGTTTCGAGTTTAGTGGACCACAAAATTATGACAATTTAGGACAGATTCTCTGGACCAGACATAAAGACTTGCAAGCCTTAGTGTTTTTACTCTGGGTATGTAGGTCACTCCTGCTAAAATGTGATAGCTTTCTGCCTGGGTGCCCAACTATATGTCACCCAAGTAATCTTGAGGGAAGATAACAGGATGAGCAAATACATTACAAAACACAAACTATCATTGCCACCTGGCAGGTATTGTTTGATGTGTCCTTTTGCAGACCCTTAACAATAACTCAGTGAAGATTTTTCTTAAATATTGAGGGTGTGATTTATCTTTCCACCAGTGTAAATTCACTGAAATCAATGTAATTACACGAGTGTAAACCTGATGCAAGCAACAGAGAGGAGAATCAAGACCTGAAACTTACGTTTTAGCTTTGTTTGATCTAAATGGTCAATAAGAAATGAGACCTCTGTGTAAGCTGAAAAGTTTGTATCTCTTGCCAACAGAAGTTGGTCAAATAAAAGATATTACCTCACCCATCTTGTATCACTAATAAGAAATAAGCACTTTTTAGTTAAGAGAATCACCTTGAATATTTGAAATTGTGGCAATTAAGTGGATTTGCTGGCAGCCTAATATAACTACCAGGTAAAATGCTAGGGATCGAGACTAATCTCTGGCAATTTGGAGATGTGAGGGGAAATCATAAGGATGACACTTCCAGCCTCTCTAAGTTGCATAGTATAGCTGAATCTCTGTGAAGAAACCTTTCACTTCCTGCACAGTATGGCAGTAGTCCAGGAGGACCCTAACAGAACCTCAAGTCACATGAAGCTTGTACAATGTTGCATCCATTTAAAAGTACCCACATGGAGAACAATAGGACATAAATGCTAGAAACAGTTCTCGGATAATGACAGCATGAATGAAATTTGCATACCGCACAGTCTGATTTTAATATCCCAAATCTTTTGCCTTAAGAAGATCTGAAACTCACTGGAATATGCTATTGGTCCAGATTAGTAAGGGACAAACCATGCTCAGATGCCTCTAGTTTTCTACAATAACCCTCAGCCTCATGCCCCCTCAAAACAAAACAAAAATCAAACCCAAAACAAATCATCCTTTCACTGCATAACCTAAAAAAAGCAGCTGTTATTTTTTTCTGTCTTAAGTAAAAAAAAAATCAAGTTACATGTCAGGCTGCCCTTTGCAACATTACATAATGCCTTCATATGGTACGTTTCTGTAAAGTATCAGAGGGATAGCCGTGTTAGTCTGAATCTGTAAAAAGCAACAGAGGGTCCTGTGGTACCTTTGAGACTAAGAGAAGTATTGGGAGCATAAGCTTTCGTGGGTAAGAACCTCACTTCTTCAGATGCCAAGATCAGGGCATCTGAAGAAGTGAGGTTCTTACCCATGAAAGCTTAAGCTCCCAATACTTCTCTTAGTCTCAAAGGTGCCACAGGACCCTCTGTTGCTTGTTTCTGTAAAGTTAATCACTGCATACAGTAATATGCTTATCAAAAATAACTACTGCACATGTAACCATGCACACTGTACATTGTTTGGGTCTCCTTGTCTTTCCCAGCCCTTCTGTGGTCCATGACAGCTCCTTTTGCATCAGAGACCTTACACTAAGGCCTTGCATTCTCCTGGCTCTGCCACAACCAAGGTCAGAGTTCATTCTCTCTCTCTCTCTCTCTCTCTCTCCTCCTTTCTTCCCCCTCCTCCCCCCACCTCAGGCATCTGTCAGTGACTGTCCAATTAACAGTTCTGAGCCACAATTACAGAAGTCATAAATGAAAGGATACTTTATTGGTAACTGTATAGAAAGTGACAAATCATAAAAAGTAGGAAAAAATTGACCTATTTAATAAAATAGTGCAGAAGTGATACAAGACTTAGTTCCAGAACACTGAAATATTACCTACATGCATCTGAAAAAGCATCTTCCCTTCTCACAGTGAAAACTTTCTTTTAGTAAGCATCTAGATGTTACGGTGTATAGAAATACCATAGGGAGACAGACAGAAGATAAAATAGTCCAGAAAAATTTCTTGCTGTAGCGAAAACTCCCTTTCTCATAGCCTAATAAATATAGTTTCGTATCTGGGATCTCATCTTCCAGCTAATTCACATGTAGTAATATAGGTGTTTTCTTTCCACAAATAGGTTTTCCTTAATTTAGAAACAAACTTATTTATAGTTCTCCCTAATATCTACTCAAGGAGTTGTTATCTTCCTAACACCTCTCCATTCAAGTACTCATATATTAGTAGATATTCTTTTGTCTATTTTAATGATTGCCAACATCTTGGGGAGATGTCTGGACACATTACATGGACAAACCTTGATAGGCAGAGCTGCGGAGTCCGTCGTACAGCACCACTATAGAATTATTTAAAAATAAATATTATAAATGCATTGGCTATATTTCAAGAACAAATTTATAGAAATCATGCAACCAGATGTAGTTAATTGCCACAGTATGCCTATTAGCTTGTATATTGCACCCAAAAAGATGTAATCTTCCACCATCTTCACTTGGAAAGATCACTGTAGAAATTTAACTGGACTGCATGCCCAGTTTATCTACTCAATCTACTGAAAGTTAGCTAGCTGATGAAATTTGTGTCCATGACCATACAGCTAGTTTGAGAGAACCCTATTCTAACTTTAAAATGTTGCAGTAGTACTGAATATGGGAATGGCATTAAAGAGGGGGGGTATTTAGTGTACTCATTTGCAGTGTCAACATCCAGAAAGTTCTTTTCCAGCAATTTTATTTCACAGCAGTGCTGGTCTGAGTTATACAAACAGAACAATTTAAAGAACTGGGTATGTTTGTCAGTGCATGGATTTTCTTCTACCTTGTAAATTATTGATATGTTTCACTGATTCCAGGTTTAAACAGCACACAATTTTCCCCTCCAGCTGTAAACTTGTAAGTGACATATCTTGGCTTAAACAGAAATGATGCTGAGTTTTACAAAGCCCTCATATATTGAAAAATGTAGTAAGTTGTGGAACTGTAAAAACTATTCATAGGCTTTAAAGGACTGCCTCTTAAATACACTGGATCTGTACTAATTTTGATGTTCCGTTTGGGTTTTTTTGTGCTTTACGTTCACACGTGATTTATTTGTGAAACATGCAAGAAGTTAGCAGAAAAGCAAACTTGTTTTTTTTTTGCTTTTTTCAATTTACTTTGTACATCTGTTTATCTGAAGTTGTTATTATAAATCATCTCTCACTATGATGTCTAAGTGCCAAACAAAATTAAAATGCAGAAAGCTTAAATTCAAAATATTTTATCTTTTCTCACGTCCCAAGAGCAAGGTGGGATGGCTTGTACAGTATGTTCACCCTGGGTGAATGAAGCTCTGGGGTACTGTCTCAAAGTTCAGCAGCAGCAACTTTTTTGAGCTGAGGTTTCTTTGGCCTTGTTCCTAAGCAATGTAATTAAAAAAAGTCCCTCCATGTTTGATTTTTGGTTTTGCTTTTTAGCCATTGTAACTAGTTCTCTAACTGCTTTTCAATGTTGCTAATGTAGAAATTTCAAAAATGTCAATTTTCAAAAAGTAAAGCTGAAATTTACTGTGAAAATTTTCTTAGGAGCTCCATTCAGCTTTCCATCTACACAGCCATCTAAATATTACAGTGAACCTGTGTGTATTTGACAATATTTTGTGTGTAGTCAGTTTCACTAGTCTCTATTAGTCAATTACTTAGGTTCTCCCTTGCTGAAAAGACCTTTATAAATACCAAGAGGAGAGCAATTTTCAAAGTATTTTTTTTAAATGTACACTGGACATAGTATTTAAAAAAAGTTTTCAGACATTGGAATTTTCTTAATTAGCCAACTGGCAGTGTCTCTATCTAATTTTCCATAATCTAGGCTTGTCAGAGAACACAGGATTTTATAAGATTGTTGCCTTTATCAGGTAGCCCTATAGGACAACTTTTGTTCCATTACAATGACATTGCTTGGTCATAGGGAGAGTAATTGCTCTTCCCTTATTTTAAAAGATGTCCATTATTTGTTATCCTACAGAATAAATGAACATAATGTCTCCATGTCCTATGCACAGGTCGGGGGGGGGGGAAATAAATCATGATACTTTCCCAATCTCATTGGAACAAAATGAGATGCCATCGACAATATTCTGTACATCTTCATAATGTGATTGTCCCTCTTCTTGCTGGCTTACGTCAACAGTGAAATAGTCAAGTGATGTCATGTAATGTATCATGTTTCGGAGTTAACATCACATTGAGATGTTCACATCTCTCAGAGATAATGGTTGTACTCTGTCTGCAGACACCATATCTGTTTATACTTGGATTTCCCTTTGCACCCATAAGATCTAAAGGGGTTTTTTTTAAAGTAAAAGCTTAGGTTCTGGAGCACAAAATGGCAGTCTCCAAAGAATAGTGCCATCTTTCAAGCCCATTTTGACTCCTGGTCTAGTATGTCAAGAGAGAATGCCCCTTGTCTCATATTTCAGCAATAATCAGTCGAAGGATCAGACACTGATACCAGGGTAGGTCTGTGTAAATAAACTCTGCAGGGTGGGTGTCATCCTTTTGGAAATAAGCATTATCCCATATCTTTCATTGAAATCGGGGTGCTCACGAGAGTTGCGATGCAGATGTCATGGCACAACCAGGTCAAGACACTTGCGTAACTTCTGCAGCATTTGGGGGAGCTCCCTACAAAATGGGGACAGCCCCTAAAAATCCTGGAGGACCATCGCCCTCTCCCCCCACCCATTTATCCTGAAAACTTCTGTCTGAACCCCATTTCTTTGCACCCATTTTGTAACTGACTTGATGGGGTGGGGGAAAAGGGTCCAACTCTGGGTCCCCACACACACACACACTTACCACCCTACTCCTCCCCAACCCAAGTGTCACCAAGGTCCAGTACAAGGCTCGTCGGGTTCCCCAACATAAGGGACTATTCCCTACCCAGCAACTCTTCCCCTCACCTGCTCCCTCCTCCTCCTCCAGGGGCGTCTCTGTCTCCTAGCAACGCTCAAAATGGCTGGCCCGCGCGGCGATTTCTGGGAATTATAGTCCTAGACCCGCGAGCCGCTCATCCCTTGCCGAAGCGAGGGACTATATTTCCCAGTAGGCATCGCGCGCCGGAGAAGGGAGCTCGTCGAGGCGGCGCCGCGGCGGGGTTCCCTGTGGAGTGAGGGGACACAGGTGGGGGAAGCGCGAAGGGCGCTGGGAATTGTAGTTCCGAACCCGGGGAGACTCTCCAGAGCCAGTGGGCTGGAGGGCAGAGCAGGACTACAAGTCCCAGGGAGGCGCAGGAGGGAGCGGGCTGGACGCCGCCTGAGGGCGGGGGGTACGAAAGGGAACCTGCTGGTGGCGGCTCTGGAGGTTCCTCACTCAGGTGAGGGGGTGGCCGTGGAGAGGGGCTTGAATCCCTCCTGGGCCTGCAGGGTTTGAACCCCCCCTCTCCGGGGGTGCAGAGTCCCTCCGATGCCTGGGCGATACTCCGCTGTTGCCCCTGTGCCCCCTGCTCTGGGGGCTCAGGCCTGCCGGGTCCCCCAGCGAGGGGGGCGAAGGAGAGGGCTCGGGCTCCCCCGCATCCTGGGGTGTAGAAAGAGGGTGCGATGAGGGCTTGGGCCCCCCACATTCTCTGGGGTGCGGGGCCAAAGGCTCTGCCTCCCTCTGCAGTCGCGGGGGAGGGGAATCAGGAGGACGGGGTGGAGATCAAAGCCCCCCTATTTTGTGGGGGACAAGTCGGAGTGAAGGTCAAGGGCCCCCATCTTCTATACGTGGGGGAGACAACAAGAGGATGGGGAATGACTAATGCCCCTTTTTTTCCTTTGGTGGGATGAGGCGTGAGGAGGAGAAACGCCCCAGTGTCTCTTCTTGTAACTCCCCCCCCCATATACTCACCTTTTTTAAGGGGGACAATGGGGGACACATATTTGGGATTCAAATGGCCCTGGTGCCTTGTCCTGTAACCCCCTCAATACACCCACCTTTCTGGGGGTGGGGGGGGCTCACATTTTTGGGATTCATTTTACTGGGTTTTGCTCAACCTAGTTTCTTCAGAATGAAGAAGGCTTAAAAAGTAAACTAAGTTTGAATGTGACTTAAAAATTGGCATTAAAACAGGCACGGCAAAAATTATTCATCTCAGGATTCTTCTAAAAAACCCCAAAATCTTAATAAAAACAAATGCCTGTCTTAACGCTAGTAATTAGTGAAATTCCTGCAGTGGGTATGGGGAGGGGAAGTTGCACAAAGGTTTCAAAGCTGCAGACAGAAAATAGCTTGTTGTAATATATTTAGCAAGCAATGTGAACCACAGAAAAATAGGGGGTGTGGAGAATACATTCCCTGGCAAAGAAGCTACTGTACATTTTAACTCGGGGAGCGGTTGCAGCATTTTGGTATGTAAGGGGAAGCCAAGAAAATAGAAATCTCTTTTCTTCCCAATCCTTACAAATAAATTATGTAAAATCAGATCTCTACCAAATCTAAGACCAGGAAATGCCCACATTTTTAGGCTGATTTGACAGTACAGAATCTCTCTCCAATGAAAGAATTTTTGTAATGTTCTTCTTACGAAAAAAAACCCCACTTTTTCAAATTATCATAGTTTGGCAGTCCTGGATTTTAGGTTTTGTTTTAAGGAAGTACTTTTTAAAGTGTGTTTACCAGTTTAATCTCTTTAATTGCACAAGAGCAGGCTTAGTAAGTATCTAAAAGCATTTCTAAAGCACCTGTAACTGGAGTATGTAACTATACTTTGGCAACAAAACCCTGCCAACATTAATTTCTCTCATCAAACTTTGAAGGTAGCAGTAACAATTGTCATTGTAGAAGCAGTTATTGCAAACTTCTGGCTGACTGAACAAGGATGGCAGTTTTGGGTCACCCAGTGGCTGCTTTAGGCACGTTCGAACCATGTAACTAACTCCTTTTCAGTAGAAACAAGGCTTAAAGTGAGTGTAACTTTCCACTCTTGTAGATAGAATGAGGGTCTGTTTCAATGCTTACAGGAGGCCTCACATATACTTAGGTCAACTCTGTAGGTCCCAACTAAACTAGCACTGTCCTTATCATGGGTATGTGTTAGAAGATCAGGAAAAACAGGTAACAGAAGCTGGAAAAACAAGTCTTTTTTTCTTTTTAAGGAAGCTTTCCTTTGTAAGGGATTGTGATAAGCACAGCCCAAATAATTGCCTGTCCTTCTACTGTGTAGGTGTCTTGCTACATGTATTTGCAGTATGAATGAGAACCTAGCAGTACACCATGTTAAATTCCTCCTTCCTGAATAAAAAGCGTTTATGGAAGATCCAGTACTTCAGTATGAACCTCTGAAAAATTTGGTAAGTGGGAGTTTTTTGGCCTTTGCAAGTATGTGGTTTATGAAACTGGGATCTAATTTATTTTGCCTGTATGATATCCTGACAGTTACGAGCAACTAAAGGTCAGAACTAAAAATGCATTTGGCAGCAGAATGGAGATGATAAAATTTCAAAATCTTATCTGGTAACTGAATCCACCTGAAATGTATGCACCAAATTTCTACCACCCACTCCCTTCCTTTTTTTTCTTTTCTTTTCTTTTGTTTGACCTGAATCTGGAAACAAACAAACAAACTTGCGGATACAATTCTTTCATAATACTTAGTCCTGCCGTGAGTGCAGGGGACTGGACTAGATGACTTCTTGAGGTCCCTTCCGATTCTATGATTCTAATACTGGACACAATGCTAAAAATACACCTATGCTAGTATAACTAATGACTATCCTTAATTTAAGTTTTGTTATTTTTAATAAACCTTGAGTTACAGAAGCACCCCTGCATCCAGGAAAGGGATAATTTTCTGGTTGTCAGGCTACAAGAGCCAAATAAATACTGCTGAGTAAAAATGTAAAGCATGTAGCTCATGCCTATTCGAGCACTTGAGATCAGAGCTGACAATAACTTAAGGTTTTAGTTTTTATTTTTAGCATTTTATGATAGGAAGTATCTAATGTTTAAGGATATGATTCTGTCATTGAGGTCACGGATTCCATGGCTTTCCGGGACTACTTCTGGGGCAGAGCCAGAGCAGCTAGCCGGTGGTCAGCGCTGGGCAGAGCGGTGGCTGCCCAGTCAACCCCGGGGCCACTGAACAGCTGACCAGCCACTGCAACAGTTGGCCAACGGTCAGCCCTGGGGCTGCCAAACAACTGATCAGGGGTCAGCCCCAGGCCCGCCAGAGCAGCGGTTCTCAGCCCGCCAGAGCAGCAGCTGGGATTGGGTCAGCCCCCTGGGGGCTGGAGCAGCAGTGGTCAGCCACTGCCCCAGGAGCAGCTGCAGACCCGGCAGCACTCTGTTTGCCTCCCCTCTTTCTTCCCCCCGGGTATTTTAGGAAAAGTCAGGGACAGGTCACAGGCTTCCATGAATTTTTGCTTATTGCCTGCGACCTGTCCCTGACTTTTACTAAAAATACTGTGACAGAATCTTACCCTTACTAATGTTTAATTGTAATATCTGTGTTTTCAAAATAAAGGATGTTGGCACTTATGGTCTGGGCTCCAGTTTGTGTGTCTTTTTTTTTTTTTAAACCGAAAGTGAAAGTCCTGCCAAATGTAGTACTCACCAGAGAACTGTTTTTCTAATTTATTTAAACAACAAGGAGTCCGATGGCCCCTTAAAGACTAACAGATTTATTTGGGCATAAACTTTAGTGGGTAAAAACCTCACTTCTTCAGATGCATAGAGTGAAAGTTACAGATGCAGGCATTATATACTGACACATGGAGAGAAGGGAGTTACTTCACAAGTGGAGAACCAGTTTTGACAGGGCCAATTCAATCAGGGTGGATGTAATTTGTTTCATTATGCATTATATTCTGAATAAGCTATCTCCTCCTGTTATAATGTCATTCTAAAGTCAACAGTATTACATTTCTGATTGCATAGGGGATGCAGTGTCTTTTCCCTCTAGTCTTTTCCCTCTGGTCAAGTGCTGACCATGGTGTTAGTTAATAAGCCTATTAGTATTTGATAGCTAAAGGCCCATGTAAAATGAGATGTATGGTCTTGATTTATAGTGGATGGATGTCCACAGCACAACTACCATCAAAGTTGGTGCCCTATTTGGCTGTCTTGCACTTTGATTAGCATGGAGAATGAACTACTTACTACAAGATGTCTTTGCACAAGGGACCCAAACACTGGCAGCAAAGTTTAAGGAACTTTGCATATGTTTTACCTGTTTTATTAATAACAAATTTGAGTTTCTAATTCTGTCTGACTCCTTTCCATGAGCATTACTTTTCATTTAAACAAAATATATGATGTTACCAGCATCGCTTCACTGAATGTCCTATGCCTAATCCGATCAAGTATTCTTAATATCTTTACAGGTTTCCACTCTTCTGCATTTATTTGCTCATAGATATTTCTATGAGCAAATATTGGTTCAAATAAAATATAAAAGATGCCTTTATAGTTTGAGAGGAAGAAAGATCAATTCACTGGAAAGATTCAAAGGCATTTTTATCCAATTTCCTATTTCTGCTGGAACAGCTGCAGGAAAGATGTTCTATTTCACTACAATCATTAGCAGCTGTGAACAAGTAGCTGTCTGTAAATGTAATTGTCTCACTGTTGATTAGTACTCTAATGTATTTCAGGGATGGAAATACAAGAGGTGTGTGGAACCTATACCATAAACTTGTGTCCAACAAGAATGAGTACCAGTCATTCTGAAAGCATCTAGTTACTGATGTTTTCTTGTGCAGAAGATATTAAAATGTTCTTTCCTGAAAGATAAATATATTTAGATGACAGGAAAATACTTATTTAAATAAATAGTTTTCTTCTCTGACTCTCCAATATTTAACTTTAGTATACTAATGAAGCAAGTATTGACAGACATTTGTGTGTAGAGTCCAAAGTGATGAAAAATTGATCAGCATCTGACTATAACAGCTGAGGACATTTTCTCAGTGGAAGTCATATATAATCAAAGAGGCAATATTTATCTTTTTGAGGAGCGTGAGGTATAGAAGATAGACAAATT